GTTCTAAGACAATAAGCTCTATTATTAGTCACCTTTACAGGTTCCTCTCGAGCATTCGATCGATCCGTGTAGAGTTAGACAGCCTGCACAGGAGGCTTAATTTCGGATAATGACTGAAAATCAGCATTGGGTTTTACCGAAACATCCAGGCCAGATTTCTTGACGAACCGACTCTGCAAATCCAATGATGGGGTTACGTGTCGGGGGCAATAAGGAAGAAAGAGGACTAGCGAGAATGACACGATTGGACATTCTGAGAACAATTACTTACGCACTGTTCCTCTAAACACTCAATCAATATTCAAGAGTTTGAGCACTCATTAGTGCCTGGAGGTTATTATACACCTGGATCGGTTATTATTATTATTATTATCATCATTTCTTTTTCTTCCCGGTGGAAGACAGACTCAACAAACCAGAAGTTAGATTCAGCAAACCAGAAAACAGACTCAGCAAACCAGGAAACAGATTCCGACAATCAGAGGACTCAACTCAGACAACTAAGGACTGGGCCCAGCGACACACGATTTTTAGTACTCAGCGTTTGTTGGGGTTGATCAGCGCCCAACGGTGCTGTTGATGTACTGCATGATTCTGTTAGCAGTGGCCCAGCAAACCACTGTCCGTTTTTAGGCAACGTTCAACTAATTCTTCAATCATCTTTATCAATTAGGACTTTGACATTTGAATTGTTTGAAGATCTCTGAGCCGGAACTGATCAGCAATCTCTCGCTGATCATGGATTACGACGGCAGACGGTAATCAGTTGAGCCCCGGAGGCCTACTAAAGTTGCCTCATGGAAGACAGTCTCAACAATTGTGACTTCCCTATCACATTAAACCGTTATGTGAGTCAGTGTTTGCTCTTAGGGGAAAGTGACTGAGTTACCCTGTGGGACCCTGAAGGGCACTCAGTTCAAGCCGAGTTAATTACCTTTTCTCTTGACTTCAACTTTCTGGCAAGCTGCAACATGCAATCCATACTGGAGTTCTAGACAATCACCAGAAAATTATAGTTAGTTCTAACCCTCTTGTCCCTAAGAGCGGTGAGCCATTGCGTGCATGAATTTACCGTCTGACTCAGCTGAGAGAAGAGTCATGAAAAAGGAGGAAATTCTGGTCATAAAGAGCAGAGTAGACAGAGACAAGCAGGAGGGATGGGAGGAAGGAGCTTGCCGTGATATGGAATTTAATAGGAGAGTTCAGCGTGAGCACTCGGTTCAGAGGGTGAAGAACGAGATTTGCACAGTACCATTTCTTCACTTGAGACAGTAGAACAGGCCAGGGCAAGGCTCTCATGAGCGTGGCTATTCTGGTGGCACGAGTTTCAGAAACAATACTCAGAGCAGTTTTCCAGCCCGTACGTAGAACGGTAATCCGGACTCAGAGTAAAAATCAGTGAATTTTATACAAGATCAGTGAGCTCTAAACGGACTCAGTGGACTTAAAGCAGACTCAGTGGGCTCCGTGGAGAGTCAGTAATCTCGGCAGCATTCCGCTCCCAGGTTAGTAATCTCAATGGTATCCTGTTCTCTGAGTGAAGTAGCAATTAACCAACAACTTTCCAACACTTGTGCAACAGTCAACCAGCAACTAGCCAACATCTATTCAAGCATCCGGTCGGTAGTCGAAGCAACATTCTTGTCGGAGGCTAGTAGCCAGAAAGCGGTAACCTGATAACTGCAACCGGAGAACAACAATTAGGAATAGCGGCAAGAACAGTAATTTGAAATGACCATCCTAAAACGGCAGTCTATCCAATAGCCCTTTTCACGCTTATATCATCCAAAAGTCAACCATCTGGAGTTAGTTGAACTGATGTAGGGTAAGTTTGGTACGGATAAGGAGGGAATCAACACGATTAGAGTCTCCTGCTCTTTGTATCAGAGCTCTAAAGAGACCTGGAGGGAGAGTGCAATTGAGGAGTACAGTCAACAAACTATTATGATAATGGAACATGCAATGACCCTCATAAGAAATCATACAAAAATTCAGTACACTTACGACCTGCACGATAAGAACGGCAGACTATGTGCCACCATAGCATCTGTGGGTACTGTTGAGGAAGCAAGGAAGACTGTTAACAGCCACCAGTGAGCGTTTTATTTTTGAACAAGTACAACTCACTTATCTGGACAACCAGCAATCATCTAATCAGCAGTCAATCATCAGCATTCAGTTATCATTAGTGATCAGTTCAGCAATCAGTTTTCAACAGTCAGTTTCCTGCAATCAGTTTGGTAACCAGTTCTCCAGGATCATCTGGTCAACTTGTACTGGATAGAGTACTCATGAGCACAGTTCGGTCTACACTGTTCAGTGAGTCGGTGCTGGCCAACCTCAATCGGATCTCATGCAAAGAGGCATTTCATTTTCAGTATGTTAGTGCCACTGTTTTCAGACAGGGAGATCTGTCAATCTTCGTTGTCCAGACCAGTTTTGCTGATGGCACTATCCACGATCTGAGGCCTTACCTGAAGAAGGGCAAGGCGACTCATGAGCTTTTCGATCCGGTCTGAATCTCAGCTACCGAATACCTTGAGCAGAGAGAGAGGGAGCTTGATGAGAATGGCACTACGTTGATTCGTAGCTTTGGGCCAATGCTTTATACTGACAATCCTAGGCCTCCAGTCCTTTCTCTTCTCACTGATGGCACGAGTTGGCTAGATGTAATCGGTTCGGCAAAGAGGTACATCTCTCCGGCGGTTATCGACATTGAGGAATTGACTGAGCCCACCTAGTATCCCTACCTCAGACAAGAGGTCTTTTCAGTGGATGGGCTGCCTACATTGTGGGAGGAATTTTGCTCTAAGGTCAATTACCGTATCATGTGCCTCGGATGGTCTTGTTCAGAGCTTGCTGGCTGCATGTGGCATTTTTTCACGAAACCTCAATCTCATATTGTACGTGGGCGTGAGTCACGGCACCAGAAAAAATCAGTAAGAAGAGATTGAGAGAGACTGACTAGATATGCTCGTTTACATGTACTTTCTGAGATTATTATGAGTTCTCATTCTYCCCTCATTCAATTGTCCCTGTCTTTGCTCGAGTCAGTCAGTCTTATTTTCTGCATTATTCTTGCTTGATGATTGCCTTCGAGGATGTTTTGTCACAGTTCTCAAAATCAGACTGACATAATTGATGCATGCATAGCACCCAATAATTTTATGATTATTACTTGCATAATTCTCTGCTGTTCCGAATCAAAATAAAAGATTCCTAAGACTGGGGACCGGCGAAGACCGCAATTGAAGGGTCTCGCTCGAAGCCGGACGCACACAACAGAAAGGGATTTGCATTATTTAATTTATTTTATTTATTGCAATCACATACAAAATCCTGCGTGACATCCTGTTGGCTTTCTGGTCGCCCTGAGAGGCCAGACTAGGAAAAAGTGCGACAACGCGCACTAAACTAATGAATCCAATGAGTCGCTTGCCTGGGTCAAAAGGCCGGGGTAACCTTCTTAAGGTTCATCGTGACGGGGATAAATTGTTGTAATTATCGATCTTGAACGAGGAATGCTTAGTAAGCCCGAGTGATCAGCTCACGCTGATTACGTCCCTGCCCTTTGTACACACCGCCCGTCGCTCCTACCGATTGAATGGTCTAGTGAAGTGTCTGGATTGCAGTGATCTCGGCGATTTGCCGCTGGGGGTGCTGTGAGAAGTTCATTGAACCTTATCATTTGGAGGAAGGAGAAGTTGTAACAAGGTTTCCGTAGGTGAACTTGCGGAAGAATCATTGACACGTGAACGGCCGATCTTCGGGGTGTGGAACGCTGGCTTGCTCGCCCTTCCGCCGCCCTTTGCCCCCATCCTCCCTGCATCCGCTTTTCTCTTCCGTTTCATAACCATCTTAGGCTTAGTGCCCAGCTGGCGGCTGGCCCGGCACAGAGGGGGGCATTGTGTAGGTCGAGGGTGGGGGGAGTGGGCAGGGTCCGGGGCCTTGTGGCGTTGCTCCCCCTTCATCCCGTCTCGCCTCCGCAGGTTTTTACCTCGGCCCATCCCCACTCTCGACTTCTGGTTGGGATGGCGGCTGGTCCGGACACGGACAGCCCTGCGGGAGGGTCAGGGGCGGGATGTCGGGTGGTGGGGGCTGTCCTCGGCCTGCGTACCCCCGCTCCTTCCCGTCTCAGCTTTGTCCAAACCTCCTTTCCATCCCGGCCTCAACCTCGGCTTCGTGCGGAGCTTGTGGCTTGTTTGGGGATCAAGGGTCGTGGTACAGGCTAGGGGCGGGGTGTGTTGAGGGGTCCTTAGCCCCTCCCCGTTTCGTCCTGCCTTTCTTCTTAACGGGGTTCTCCTTTCCGGACAGATCGTCGTCCTCGACACAGTCAAGGTGGTCTGAATCTCGGGGTGGAGGGCCATTGGGGGAGGGTTTTGGTCGTGAACGGGGTGGTATCGGGTGGGGGGGGGGAGGAGACAGCGCTTGCACCCTCGTTGCCCCGCTGCTCCCCGGTGCCCTGCCTGGCCCCCCGAATGGGGGGTCGGATAGGCCCGTGGCAGCGGCCGGTGGCAACGACTTTGCAACTTCTTATTGATGTACCTGCTCTGATTTGTCGCTGCCTGGGTTGACGGCCCCCTTCTATTATGGTCGAGGGGTCGGTCCTGTCGTAACGGCACCATATTGTAGAACTCTCGGCAAACGAATATCTTGGCCCTTGCAACGATTAAGAGCGCAGCGAAATGCGATACTGAATGTGAATTGCAGAAATCCGTGAGCCATCGATACCTTGAACGCACGAGGCGCCCGAGACTTCTGCCGAGGGCACGCCCGCCTGAGCATCATTGGATTCCTCACGACCTCAGCACCTTCCATTTCGGAGAGTGGTGGGGTCCGTGGTCGTGGCTTCCCTCGCTTCCCACTTGGAGAGCGTCGATAGCCTAAAGTGGAAGGGAATTGGAGAGCATTCCGAGCGGTCCTGTGGGGGCCGCAGCCCAGAGTGGTGCGTTTCGCTCTGCCTTGTTGTTGCCCTCTAGCACCCGTTTGTGGGTGGTGGTCTTCGTTTCCCTGAAAACGACACGTAAGGTTGTCCCTTCGGTTTGTGTGGTCGCCGCCTTCCRTTCGCTCCCATCAGCTTGAGGTGGGCTTGCGGTTGGGGGTGTCGGCCTCGGGCTGTGGAGGTACGTCGGGCCTTGCCTTTTGATCTCARGTCGGGCGGGAGCACCCGCCCAATTTAAGCATATAACTAAGCGCAGGAAAAGAAACCAACGAGGATTCCCTTGGTAGCGGCGAGCGAACCGGGAATAGCCCTGACTGAAAATCTGGGGGCTCTGTTGCTCCCTGAATTGTAGTCTTGAGAGGCAACTTCTGCAGCGGGCCGTGTGCAGGYTCCCTGGAAGGGGACGCCGAAGAGGGTGACAGCCCCGTCGACCGCCGGACCCTGCTGCGCACTGAGGTGTTGTCCAAGAGTCGGGTTACTTGGGAATGCAGCCCCAATTGGGTGGTAACTCCCATCCAAGGCAAAATATGTCTGAGGGACCGATAGCGAAGAAGTACCGYGAGGGAAGGATGAAAAGAACTTTGAAAAGAGAGTTAAAGAGTGCTTGAAATTGCCGAGCGAGAAGCGGATGGAAGGGAAGTCGTGCGCTCCCGTCTGGGCAGGGGTGGACGGCGACTGTGTTGTCTCCCCCCTTGTTGGACGTGGGGTGCCTGCCAGCATGGGCTGCTGTGACCGGCATTGCGGTGGGGAGCGATTGAAACCCCCCACGGGTGGCCGTCACGGCAGTCGAGGACCTTGAGCACGCGCCTCTTTCGGCGGGCCCGTTCGGGTTCCTGCGTGTTCGGGATGCTGGCGAAATTCCTCTATCCTGCCCGTCTTGAAACACGGACCGAGGAGTTCAACTTGCATGCGAGCCGGTGGGTGATTAGCCCACGAGGCGGAAGAAACCTGAGTGGTGTGAACTGTCTGCGGGTGCACCGTCCGCCAACCACGATCTGCTGTGAGAGGTTTGAGTGTGGGCATGCCCGTTGGGACCCGAAAGATGGTGAACTATGCCTGAGCAGGGCGAGGCCAGAGGAAACTCTGGTGGAGGCTCGGAGCGATACTGATGTGCAAATCGTTCGTCGGACTTGGGTATAGGGGCGAAAGACTAATCGAACGTTTTAGTAGTTGGTTCCCTCCGAAGTTTCCCTTAGGATATCTGGAGCTGTTGAACAGTTTTATCGGGTAAAGCGAATGATTAGAGGCCTCGGGGATGAAACACCCTCGACCTATTCTCAAACTTTAAATAGGTAAGATTTCGGGGTTGCTTAAGCGAACTTCGAGAATCAATGAAAGCTCCAGGTGGGCCATTTTTGGTGAGCAGAACTGGCGATGCGGGATGAACCGAAAGTCGAGCTACGGTGCCAAACTGTGCGCTAACCCAAACACCACAAAGGGTGTTGATTGATACCGACAGTAGGACGGTGGTCATGGAAGTCAAAATCCGCTAAGGAGTGTGTAACAACTCACCTGCCGAATCAATCAGCCTCGAAAATGGATGGCGCTGAAGCGCGCGACCTATGCTCGGTCGTCACGGCAATTATGACGCCGCGACGAGTAGGAGGGCGCGGGGCCTGCTGCGAAGCCTGGAGCGTGAGCCTAGGTGAAGCAGGTCCTGGTGCAGATSTTGGTGGTAGTAGCAAATATTCAAATGAGAACTTTGAAGACCGAAGTGGAGAAGGGTTCCATGTGAACAGCGCTTGGACATGGGTAGTCGGCCCTAAGGGATGTGGAAACCTTGTACCCATGGCGCATTGTGCGCCACACATCGAAAGGGGTCGGGTTAATATTCTCGAATCGGGATGTGGACGTGGACGGTACGTAAGCAGGTCCGGAGATGCCGGCGGGGGCCGTGGGGAGGGTTCTCTTTCCTTCTTGACGGCTCGCCCACCCTGGAATCGGATCAACCGGAGATAGGGTGCAGCNGGGGAGGGTTCTCTTTCCTTCTTGACGGCTCGCCCACCCTGGAATCGGATCAACCGGAGATAGGGTGCAGCGCCCGGCAAAGCACCGCGCGTCCTSTGGTGTCCAGCGCGCCCCCGACAGCCCTTGAAAATCTAGAGATGCGGGTACCTCTCATGCCCGGCCGTACTCATAACCGCATTAGGTCTCCTAGGTGAGCAGCCTCGGGTCAAAGGAAGAATGTAGGTAAGGGAAGTCGGCAATATGGATCCGTAACCTTGGGAAAAGGATTGGCTGTAAGGGCTGGGCCTAGGGGTCTGCGCCTCAATGTCGTTGGCTGCCGGTGGTCTGCCCGAGCTTCTCTCGCGGCGAGGGCGGAGCCCGCGTGCGAGTGTGCCGACGGGCGTAGAATGTCTTATGTCCCCACCTTTCGGGTGSGGCCGTGGGACTCTCCCTAAGCATCAAACTGCCGACGTAAAACTAGGGCGGACAAGGGGAATCCGACTGTTTAATTAAAACAAAGCRTTGCGATGGTCCCAACGGATGTTGACGCAATGTGATTTCTGCCCAGTGCTCTGGATGTCAAAGTGAAAAGATTCAACCAAGGCTTAGCGCGGGTAAGCGGCGGGAGTAACTATGACTCTCTTAAGGTAGCCAAATGCCTCGTCATCTAATTAGTGAYGCGCATGAATGGATTAACGAGATTCCCACTGTCCCTATCTACCATCCTTTGAAACCACAGCCAAGGGAACGGGCTTGGAAGAATCGGTGGGGAAAGAAGACCATGTTGAGCTTGACTCTAGTTCGACTCTGTGAAATGACTTGAGAGGTGTAGAATAAGTGGGAGCCTTACGGCGCAAGTGAAATACCACTACTTTTAACGTTATTTTACTTATTTCGTGAGGTGGAGCCGGGGCTCTACCCCTGCTTCTCGATCCAAGGTGCAGGCCCTCGTGGCCTGTCCGATCCAAGCGAAAGACATTGTCAAGTGGGGAGTTTGGCTGGGGCGGCAACATCTGTTAGAAAAGAACGCAGGTGTCCTAAAATGAGCTCAACGAGAACAGAAATCTCGTGTGGAGCAAAAGGGCAAAAGCTCATTTGATTTTGATTTCCAGTACGAATACAAACTGTGAGAGCATGGCCTATCGATCCTTTAGCGTTTCAGGACTTGRAGCTAGAGGTGTCAGAAAAGTTACCACAGGGATAACTGGCTTGTGGCAGCCAAGCGTGCATAGTGACGTTGCTTGTTGATCCTTCGATGTCGACTCTTCCTATCATTGTGAAGCAGAATTCACCAAGTGTTGGATTGTTCACCCACCAACAGGGAACGTGAGCTRGGTTTAGACCGTCGTGAGACAGGTTAGGGGTCTCCCCTATCGGTCTCTCGGCGATCTTGCCGACTCACCTCGTTGCTTGTTGGGGTGAGCCTTGGAGCTCGACCCTTGCATCCATGTGGATGTGGAGGGCACGGGAGAGCCGTAAAATGAAAGTGTTTTAGGACTAGTTCTTGTTCAACGTGCGAAAGGACTTGCTGTCAAGGTTTAGGGTGAAAGTAGCAAATATGTTGAGATCAAGTCCCACCCCTTCTGCAATGGAAGGGGAAGAAAGGACTTGCTCTCAAGGATTAGGGTGGAAGTAGCAAGCGACAACAAGTCCTAACCCCTCCGTCCTGGAAGGAGAAAGTTGTGTAGATGTATTTTCTTAAACGCATCACGTCCTCGACAGGAGGCTTGCCCATGTTTGGCATTCCTCCTCCATACGACCTAAACATCTGCACAGCTCTTCTGACTCGTATAGGGCTTTATGATGAAAGATACCAACGGCCCTTTGCCATTGAGCGACGCAATGGCGATCCAAGTGTTGGGAAATGGGACGGTTGCAACAGTGGGTGCATTCGGATGGGTGGGACTGGCTTACCTCCGACGATCTGAGCAAGCTCACGAACCTTGTTACGGTTCCTCCGCTCGGGGAGTAGGGCGCCCCAGCCTTCGAACCCGCTGGGAACGTCCGTCGCAAGGGAGCGGCAACTACGAAATTTGAATTCAAAAGTTTGGGTTAGGCCTTATTTGTTCACCCACCAACAGGGAACATGAGCTCGGTTTAGACCTTCATGAGACAAGTTAGTTTTACCCTACAGATGCACCGCCGTCGCAATAGTAATCCAACCCAGTATGCGAGGAAACGTTGGTTCGCACAATTGGCAATTGTGCTTGGCTGAAAAGCCAGCSGTGCAAAGCTACCGTGCGTGGGATTATGACTGAACGCCTCTAAGTCAGAATCTGTGCTTGCAGCAACGGCGTATGCCTCCTCGGATGACACAAGGCTGTCGATAGGGCCAGCCGGTCTGGCCCCGAAAGCATAAGTTCGGAGTTGTCCCTCCTGCGGCGGAGCACCGATGCCCTGGGGGTCTCTTCATCGTGATTTCTTTCGCTCGGGGAGTCAAACCCTTTGCAGACRACTTAGACAGGGAACGGGGTGTTGTAAATAATAGAGTGGCCTTGTCGTCACGATCTATTGAGATTCGGCCCTTTGTTCCAAAGGTTTTCCCCACCTTCTGGCTCCCCACCCCTCCTCAAATGTTTGAACGACGGTCATCCGTGTGTGAAGAGAGCCGTCGCCCTTGTATAGGGGCCGATGAGCTGCTTGCTTCTTTTTTTTTTTTGCCTTTTTTTTTTTCCTTTTTTGTTTTTCCATTTTTGCAGCTTCCGTCTGAAGCCCCTTTTGCCCGATGTGGTACTCGACTTTCGGCTCAAAGGAAAACTGTGTCCGAGCCCATGTTAGGGTCGGTGCCACGTTGTAAGATTCTGGCCAGTGCGGTGCGCCATCTGTCTGAAAGCATGGATATGTGTCCGCGTGTCTTCCTGTACTTGACTCGGTGGGCGTTTGTACATGCCACATTGTCCGATGTCGCGCCATACGGCCTGCCAGTTTTGGCTGCACGGAGACCT